AACCTTGGGGACTGCGCCTACCTGATGAGCCCGAACTGGAAGGGCGAGACTGGTCGTGGGCTGTCAAGGAGTTTCCAGCAACCTTGTGAGTAGTTTCCTTTATGAAGGCTGAGACTGCTCTAGCTACTCCACTCATCTGGAGAATATAATATCGCCTCTGATTTGCGCATGATAAGGAGGCCCAAATTACTTGAGTTATCGATTTTCTTGGGCAAAAATTAGACGACCTGTTAGTGAATTGGTCGATGGCTCTTTGGTGGCAGACGGAAAGAATTGAGGACTCTTAAAGCACTCGCCACGTCCAGTGTGTCTGGGTTTGCAAATAATTTCCGGTCCGCTGACATTCTGTCGGTCCGATGAAGCGAAATGGACAAGAGTTTTGATTGGCTCAAATCGTGCAAAGCCAGATGCGCCTATCGATCAGTATCGAATTGGCGTACACTCTCCAGTCGCTTTTAGTGGACCATCCCTCACCTGCCAACCCAACTCCTAGTGTCGGGATTTTGTCTTATTATACAACCCCCCTCTACATGAGGGCTCCTACACAATAGTCCCTCTCAGTAAGCAACCCCAAAACATTCAGTGTCCCTCTTGAGGCAGTGATGTTAAGGAAGCTACACTCCAGTTGACGAAGAACTCTCAGAATCCAATAATAAATGACCTTATATGGAGTGTCTTGTACGAGATGGTTGTACCCCTTTTGGCGTCGGTGCGAAGCTATAGAGCTCCTGCGAAACCAAATGGAGACCTGCTACTGGGGATACCGGCATACTAAGCCGGTCCGTACATTGTCGAGATGAGACGACCAGAGCCTTCATAGAAACGGCTAAAGTCCCTGAAGCATGCAGTACGTATTGCGTTCACTAAGTTTGAAATGGTATGAGTGGAGCGGCAACCCACCACGTTCTTGTTTCCACAGATTCTACTCAGCTTTTCGTTCTAGGTATGGAGTGGGTTACAAAGACATCTCCCCCAACCCGATTCATGTGATTCACAGTGGTTAGATGACCGATTTCGGAAAACAAATAATCGTTCAGCTATAACACCCGTTCGTTGCCTAGCTGCCATGCCACCCGGCGGAAGCACGAGGGCTATGATAGCGCCAGGTTACCCAAGCCTAGACAGGGGAAGTCGAGAGGCAGAGGTGGGGTTCGAACCACCGACCTCACAGTCAGTAAATCCGCGCTCTGAACATTTGGGCTGTCTCGGCCTCCACCGACTTTGGATACAGTATTCACGCTAACTAAATGACTCTTCCAAATCGGCACCCCTTGGTCCGATCGTATAGCTGTCAAAGTCGGAGGGACACACATTGTTCTTCGAAATTTGCTTGCGTTATCAAAGTCCAGCAGAATTCGAGTGCTACATCTTTTTCAAAACAGTTTGGGGGATCTACCATGTTCAGAGAAGGATATCTTCACGATGAGATACATCCAACGTCCCGAGTGTCACTCAGCCTTTGTTCGAAGCGGATCCTGTAGCCTTTGTACGAGCAACTGATCTCTGCAAAAAAGTCGTCGACGGAGCAGAACTACCATCGTAGACCCTGGATTCGCAACTGATCTCTTTCGTTCCCCAGACAGATTGTCGGATAACTCATGGCATCCGATATCCACTTTCGCTCATTAGCGGATGCACCTCCGTCACAGAAATCTGTGAGTTGAACTTCCTCACCAGAAGTTTTTGGGCGCGTTTTGTGTGGCGTGAAGGACGACTTTATCAGGGACCCATTGTGGCGTCCGGACGTGTTCGGTCACGTTGCTTAAAAATCTGAAATTGACCTTCGCAAACATGCACCGACTGCTTCGGCCTGCCAAAAGATGGCAGCTGAAAATCTTGGTCTGCATTACCAAATCACATTTGGATGGGTTAGGTCTCCAGCGGCATCCGAAGCATCTCTTCTCAGTGGTGTTTGGTCTTTCGCAGTGGAATGAAACTCAAGGCAGGTTCATTTGGAACGCTACAAAATCAACCTATGTATATATCGATCTAACTTACATTGGGCCTCAAAACAACCCTCGACAAGCGATGATATGGCCTCATCGTACTGTCTTCAGTCGGCCTCCCAAGATCGACTGTCTCGACGGAGCGAAGTCTTGGGAATAAGTTGGTTTGGGAACCAAATCCTTGAGAATTCGTTCGATTTTGTGGTCCGACAGTGGTGTGAACTGACGCAACTTATAGCCATGACTCTGAGGTGACCCGCCTGGCAGTGGGTCAAAGCCAGTGGACTGTGGGCTGCAAAACAGTAATTGAGAAATCATTGTAATGTACTACTCATAAGGTGCTGAAAATTCCGTCGACAGCCCACGACCGGTTTCGCCCCAATTGGGGCTCACCAGGTAGGCGCAGTCCCTGGATTTCCGTCAACCTTATGTTCTACTTGAAACCAAATTGCACGAAATTAGCGAATGTACACTCATTTGCAAACTAATTTGGTTCTTTCGAGAGACTGACCTGGAACCCGGCTGAATCTCTCTTTTGTGATGTTCTCAGGCAACTGAATGTGCTGCACCAGGCTGCCTCATGTTTCAGTCGCTACGATATTCGAGATATCGCGATACATGTATATCTTTGTAATGTACTACTCATAAGGTTGCTAAAAATCCGTCGACAGCCTACGACCGGTTCCGCCCTTCGTTCGAAAATCATCTCATGGGTCTAATCGGTGTGATGCTAGTATTCTTCATATACCCGTTGAGGTCAGACTAACACGCCTTGACGTGATTGCCACAATGGTGAGAAGAACTGATGATGATGATGATGATGATGATATGATGATGATGATGATGATGATTTCATGGCATATCGGTAATTCAGACTCTGGAAACAAGTGTGGAACATCAGGCAATTGATTCAAACAAATGGCTGTAGCGGTGTCTCGTGACAAAAATAATCGTTATTCATGACGTCACATGGTGCCGGTTGTCGTTGCAACGTGTGCCAGGGCTCACTTTTGCTGCTGTCTGAAACCTTGTTAGCGATGAGATCATGATACATCAGTGTGCGGAGGAAGGAGAGCGCTGCATGCAGTGACATGAAAGTCACGCCCTTGGATCACAGCTGAACACACTTCAGTTAGATAGCAAACATCAGAATAAGTTGTGAATACATCTCCAAAAACACACACACTGCTAATTTGTTTTCGTAACAGAATAAGACTGACCGACTTTTTCAAACCTAATAAGTTTATTCAATCTGGATTCCCGGCGATGCCTGAAAGCTGTTTAAATCGATGCCGGCCTCGTTCTCCAACACCCATTGGGATTAGTTTTTCCTGACGTCCTGCATGAAATTTTCAAAAAAATGTTGGTTAGAGCTGGACCAGAACTGCTCATAACCCTGCCTTCCAGGCCCCTAATGAACTAGTAGGTTTAGTTGTCGTTAACCGGTCTTAAATCACTACTCATAAGGTTGCTGAAAACTCTTTGACAGCCCACGACCGGTTTCGTCCATCTTGGGCTCATCAGGTAGGCGCACTCGTCGAGTTTCCGTCAACCTTGTGTTCTACTTGAACCCAAATTGGACCGTTTCCGAGAAATACACTAACTTGCAAATCAGTTTGGTTTTCACGAGAGAGACTCAGCTGAATCTTTCGTTTATGATATTCTACAACTGAATGTGCTGCACACAAGCCGCCTCATCATTCAGTTGGTACGACATTCGAGATATCGCAGTATATTTTCATACAGGAAACTACTCACAAGGTTGCTGAAAACTCTTGAACTCTCTTGATATTTTCCAACTGGATGTGCAGCACATTCAACTGAAGGAAACATCATCCGACAGAAGGTACGCACACATGCGCATGTCAAAGTGCCTTTTTCATGAGGGTTTATACTCAAATGACAAACTGAAACGGTTTGAACTTGTCAATATTATCATGTGGCTTTTGTGGAAATCAATATGAGGTGAGAAGTTTTTTCATCGCTCTTTTCCGCCCTGTCGAAAGGGATGCGTTGCTTGTTTCGGATGCATACCATCTTCTGACTTTCGGCTTTGAACAAAGCTGCGAAAAGACTGATAGACGATTCATTGAGCTAGCGACTTCTCAATAAGATTCCGAGTGTAAGAGAAATCGTCCCGAAAAAACATTCTGTTTGTTGATATTGATCGGAAAAAAGCTGGATTTTCGCACAAGAACGGAGGGTATCGAATCTCGAGACGTCTTCAGGGGAGTAGATCAGGCTAGTTATTGAATACCTAAACAACCGTTGCGGATTCAGCTTGCTATCACTCGTTTTTGCTCAACTTTGAATGAAGTCGATGAGTAATGCCAATGGAACAAGGAATACAATGCGGAATGATTGGTTAGAGATCGAAGCTGAGCAAGGATGATGTTGTCGTCTCAAAATGAATCGAATCTATAGCGATTGGATCCAGGGATCTTGAGCCAGGATGCTTTGTGATGCACCTCGTTTGAAAACCAGATGTCAGCCTGATATCCATGGCATTCAGATTGCTCTGGAGGAAGAAGCCGAGAATCTTCGCCTCTTAGCAACCGTCAATGGAAACTGTCCTCGTTTAGACTGTGTTGACCAATGCGGTATCTGGTCCGTTCTGGAACCACTGCGCATTGACTACCGGCAGACACGTACAACAGCTTTTCACTTAGACTTACCTCGTATAGTGGTTGGTGCTAGTTAAAAAACTACCGTGTACTCTTGGAGTTCTCGTTGAATTCTCCCATCCACATGATTATAAATTCCCCCAGATGCCAATAGAGTTATGCTTCTGTTGTACAAAAAGTGATAATCGTGTCACTTGTCTCATGGAACTGCAGTGAATCACTTAAGTGAGCCTCAGTTACACCTTGTTCCGCGCTTCATACCCGCAGAGAGTATGGTACTATTGCAAGTAGTTCACCAATTTGCTCACTTGTTGTTTTAGAGAAAGATAAAATGTGATTTTTTTCACAGCATGCGTTTCCCACCATCTGTTTGTTTCTGAGTAATGACAGATTAGCGCAGTAAAACTGCTGTGCAGGATCATAGAAGATAACTTCTATCTCCCCCCGCTCTCTCCGTGTGTGTGTGTGTTTTTGTCCTCGATCACTCTTTCGACACTTTGCAGCCGGATCGATAAACATTGCTCCGCTCGCTAGCCGGTCAATGAGTTGTATCGATCTGTTGGATCACCTTTGCTCCAATTATTGGATAAGCGCCATAGGCAGTTGAGAAAAAGCAGGTTAGCATTGTGATCGGTATTTGGACAGAGGTAATCAGGGGGAATCACATCACCACTCAGGAACGCTCAGTATGACACATACAGCCCGGTCGCTCTTTTACACAGTCTAGGCATGAAAGGTTACGTTTAAATTTCGAATAATATGGCTGCGTTTGATTGAAATTCCTCTTGGCTGGACATGAATTACGAGGGACTGAAATCCGTAGAAGGCTCATAGAATCAAAGTGAACAACGGATCGAATGGCCCATATTCGTCAGCAAAAGATGTATTCGTATGTTTAAAGTGCGGTTATCCCCCCACTACCAACCAAGGCTGCCTGCAGACACGAGTTTTCCCACTCATACGATACACGCGATTCTCTTGATGGTCGCCGTTGCAACCTTTCTGGTGTGAACCTGCCATCCGTTGGACGCCGATTAGTCCTGTTGCCCTCTGGAATATCAAAATACGCTCAATCCATATTCCCTCGACTGGCCCTCATCGGTTAAACTGCAACGAGACCGCACCATGAGCACCTTAAAGGCACGACCTTTCAGTTTGTAGTTATTTGATTCCCAAGTTCGTCTGTATACACGCATTTGACCATATCACCTACATCCGGCGTTCTCTACACACCTGATGAGACCACGCTATTGATATCATTCCACCTGGGATCATCCCAGCATCGAATCTGGCTAAAAATACGCAAAAAAATCGTTCAGCTTTTGGTGCTTAACTACCGTGCCACCAGCGAAGGAAGCACGAGGCTTAGGATACCCCCATGTTACCCAAGCCTAGACAGGGGATGTCGAGAGGCAGAGGTCGGGTTCGAACCACAGACCTTCCGGTCGGTAAATTCGCGCTCTAACCACTGACCCATCTCGCCCCGAAACCTGCTCACAGGTTGAAGTTGGTTGGTCCTATATTTGGCGAAAATATCAGATGGAGTGAGTAAAGGCCTGGCTTATCATTTTCTGCAATGAAACCAAGAGATTCGTTACGGACCGTTCTTCCCTGCGATCTATGATGAGTCATTGAATTCGGTCGGATTCGAATACGAGCTACCCTGCATGCTTAAACCATCCGACTGGCAGTTTAACTGGGACATGAAGTAAAGGCGTATCTCCGTATCTCTGTGCACACTTTCTGATTGCTGGAACTGACTCCAGGCAATTTTCAAGCTCTTGTCCCCATGCGATCGATACAAAACAACGCCGAAAACCAGGTTGTTTTGAATAGCAGCGATAGAAGTAAACCATTTCTTACATTCTTAAACCTAGCATGAACAAAAACACACGTTCAGAGGATTGATCTGAACCCTTCGTTATTCGGTATTTTTTGTCGGTTGCATTCCTTCGGATCAGATTTGAAACTTGACCTGTTGCATTGTAACAATCGCAGGCCAAAATGACTGAACCACTTGCGGGAAGTGCTCGATCCATGAGCGAATCTGTTCGTACTTTGGACACCACCTTCTGACAGGGTAGTGTTGCGCTCCCCAAAGTTCTGATCTTTACAGCGGCTTTTATTGATTCCAGTTTGAACCAGTTATTGATAAATTGATTATTTGTTCGCAATGATTAACACTGGACAAGCAATCGTTCTCTTTCCTTCGTATAATCTTTAAATGCTGCTTAGTTCGTTATCTTATGATTACTTCATCTCAGGAACCTTGTTTTAACGAATTCAGAACATTCGAATATTTTACCTACCCTTTTGATCAATGTCATCGTTTTGCGTGACTGAGCACAGCTGTCGTTCGATGGAACCATCGAGTCTCTTCTTATCCCATATGCGCGCGCACACACACGCATATATATATATATATATATATATATCAACTCTTGTTGTTGTCGAAACCTGCTTTCTTGTTTCTTCTCCTCCACACAGTTAAAACAACTAAAAGTATTTAGCTCAAGTGACACGATTCCTCCACCGTGGATGTTGAAAGTGAATGAATCGAATCCACTGAAATGCCCCTCCTCTGAGAAATCGTGGAGTACCCTAGACGACACACAGTTGTCACCTCAGAGTGACGGACCAGCAATGGACACACGCAGTCACGTGGATGATCCGCGCTTTATCGGCACTGATACGGGGACAGAATCGGAAAGATCTCATTCCGGTATGATGCTAGACCAGAGTCAGTCAGATTCCTCGCTGAGTCAGACTACCGCAGCACCACGCCGTAATTCCATCTTTGAAGAAGTCCTGGCTGAGTTGAACGCGTTTGCCGAAGACGTCCTAACCAAAGAAGAGACACACCAATCCAGTTCACCTGTGCAACATCAAAGGTCTGACCGATGTAAAGGGATTTTGCGAAAATTGAGCATGCTCTGCGACGATGAGGAAGAGGATGAGGGTGAAGACGACATTCAAGAAGTGAGATCATCCTCCAGAGGATCGCAAAGCGTAAGTTTGTTCTGGTTTTGTGGTTTTTAAGTTTCGAAAGATTTATTATGTTCCGGGAGTAGAGTACGAGACCTCTGTAGTCTATTCGAATTATTTCAGCATCTGTTAAGTAGCAATGAGGCCGTGAAGCGTGAGGGTGTGTAAGACCAAAGTGTGGGACCTATGCGTCTGGCACTTGAGTTCGAAGCGTGAACAGTCCCCGCTCTGATGTCTCAACAGTTCTGCTTTGAAGGTTCGGACTCTTATCACATGCTGCTAAGCAAAACAGACTGTTTACTCGATGCGGAATTCAGTAAAACATGCAATGCCCACCCACAGATGCTCAAAAGACCGATCTTCAAGAGGAGACGAAGCTACTCTTTTTGTAGGCCAATTTTTTTAACGGCAGATTCATCCCAGCTGAATCTCTCGCTGATGAATGTGCTGCATAAAGTCCGCCCCATGTTTCAGTTGGTATGATACTGGAGACATCGCATAGTTTCTTGAAGGAACTGTCAAGCAGTCCTGAGCAACCTCATCGGCAGTGTTCCTACTGGAAACGTCAGTTCCCATCAAAATCGCTGAAGCTGCATACCGAAAATACGGTCGTCACTGGATACATAAAACAAGCCCGGGAAGCCAATTATACGTGTTCTCATCTCCCGAAGCATTTTGCATTAGGAACCACAGAAGCGAAAAAAGAAGTAAAACACTACTCATAAGGTTGCTGAAAACTCTTCGACAGCCCACGACCGGTTTCGCTCTCCTTGAGCCCCACCACGAAGATGCAGTTCCCGAGTTCTTCGCACCCAGATTGGATAGAATTCGACGAACACTCTCATTCGCACGTGAATTCTGTTCTGACAGGAGACCATCCTGAACAAGAGATTTAGCTGGATTCAGCTGTGTTTATCGTCAGTAAAGCAAAGCATTTGTCGGAAAAAGGGTGCTATCACTAGTTTTCAAGATGTTAGTGGTGTATTATGGCGCGGCAGCAACACTTGCGGCCTGCGTGGCCACCGAGATATCAGCTTAGCTGTGATACACCCATATCTGTGTTTGCGGGAAGGGGCAGAGGCTAACTGGTACTTCCGAGTATCATAAGTCCGAGCCCTTCATCCAGAGCGTGCTTAGGCGACACTGTCGCTGGGGAGAGCCTTGTGCCCCCGTGCAAGGCATTCCAACAAGCTATTCGACTTTTGAATAATGTAGTAAGAAGATTGTGTGCTGTTGACAGTTCGCGTTTATCTCTTTACTTGCAATACTAAAATCCATAATTTTTACACCATAAACAGGAATGAATAGCCTTCAAACATTGGGACGTATGCTGGACCAATCAGGCACAAGTGTTGAGTCGAAGGCAGACTGGGTCGTTATTGGTTGATCAACATGGTCCCACTGAAAGCCACCAATAGCCGGTTGATATTGCGGGGTAAAATTCTGAACTCTCTACTGTGGTCGACCCCGTGTCCAGTGGATCAAAAGTTTAGTGATCGAGGAGACAGGCTTTCGGGTCTCGTCTTGCAGTCCATTGGTTGGTCGACTGGTCACTTGACCGAAATAATGAGGCAAATGTCCTGAGGCGGTTTCGTTTAGATACGATACGCATCGGAAATCGACTTGTCTCGTTGGTGAGAGCAGAATGTGTTGAGCCGCTGACTATGCATGACCGATTATAGCACTTGATTTGGTTTGGAAATTGCGCGAGTTCAAAGCTCTCCTCTACACAGTGATGTGCCGCATCCACACTGATTATACTACTTATGAAGCATGGAGTAGTTTATGGTCTCAGCCATAGCACCCTTCCTGTGCCTAACTGCCATATCATCCGGAGGTTGTACGAGGCCTGGGATACTGCCAAGTTACCCAAGCCTAGACAGGGGATGTCGAGAGGCGGAGGTAGGGTTCGAATCACAAACCTTTCAGTCAGTGAATTAGCACCCTAACCACTTGAGCCATCTCACCCCAGTCTATGGTCTGGTATCGCCCGCGCATCTGATGGAAGGTGAAGTTCATCGTGGAAATTGCGGAATCGCTTTGGAGTCGTAGGTTACTATTGTTTAACAGTCAATGAATATCCAGGAAAGTTCAAAGGGACGTGTGAGAATGCACATTTTTTAAAGACTACGTGCCTATGAGATGTTTACCTTCCTGTCTAATGACTTGTAACTCCTTAGGTCGTGTCTACTAAGAAATGACTTCGTATTGGAGGGTTTTCTTCCCTTCACAGAGAGGGTTTGAAATGTCCAGCACCCACTTGGCTGATCTGTGGTGGGAGGGGCCATTTAAAACCAGAGATTCCTGATCTCTGTGGATTATGGGTGCCCCCCATGCTAATGGGTGCGAGTTAGTTGTAAAGTTGGGTGGAAATGGAACCATACAACAATGAAATGTTACTTTCCACCCGATATGTTTTGCCTTTCAATAGATATCGGTCGAAATATCTAACAAATTACCAAATGAAACTCCAGAAAATAGGTGCAAGTCCAACGATCGGTGTGTTTTTTTTAGAGTAGGCGTAGTGCCCAAATGTAACAAGGCTGCATGCTCTGCTACGACGATGGTATGGATCAGAAACGTGACCGCTGCGCGCCGAGGACGTCAAAGACTTTCAAGTGTTTGACCATCGATGTCTTCGAAGCACTGCCCGATTCTGGTGGGAACACCGGATCAGCAATTCTGAAGTACGTCGAATGGTATTCGGGAGAAATAACTCACCCTCGATAGATGAACTGATCACACTGCACATGTTGCGCTGGCTTGGCTACGTGCTGCGTATGCCTCGAAGGGCTCTTTTCGCACAACCACGTGAAGGGTGGAAGAGAGCCAGAGGCGGCTAAACAATGACTTAGCAACGAAGTATAAAAGCCATTACCAGCAAACTAAGCTGCGCTGGTCACTGCCATCTTCCTGGATGGGGACCCCGAGACGGGCCACATCAATGGCTAGAGACATTGTCAGGCTGGATTTATGCACCAATTTAGCAGCTCCCGCTTGCAATGCGCAGCTAACTACCCAACCATCTCCCCAAATCATCGGTGGGCGAAACTGCGGCAGCCACAACCACTGTACGACGAGTACGCGGTTATTACAGTTGATGATGATGATGACGGTAAAACTAGTTGGATTAGCTCTGGAAGACCCTATGAATAAGCCATTTTAGAGATATGGAGCTGATCGGGGATTCGAACCCAGCCTCACTATCTCGACCGCTCCTGTCTAGGCTTGGGCAAATTGGTGGTTCGCGTGGCATCTAGGTACCGAAGATGATGACGATGGCAGTTGTCCCACTACATATTTTATTTGGGGGACCAAAAGTCACTCAAAGTGTAAACATGTTCATTTACTCATCTATGATGAGTCAAGTTGATCCAGCGTTCGCTGGTGGAAATTAATAATAAGAATAATCGTCCAATTGTAACACCCTTTCGGTTCCCAGCTGCCATGCCACACCAAGGAGGCACGAGGGCTGGGATACTGCCAGGTCGCCCAAGCCTAGACAGGGGAAGTCGAGTGACAGAGGTCGGGTTCGAACCACGGACCTTCCGGTTGGTAAATTCGCGCTCTAACCACTTGAGCCATCTTGACCCAGAGGTAACACGCTTATCCGCCTGTCAGAGATCCTGATCGCAAATGCCTGTTCGAATAAGACCGAAACACGAGTTCAGTGCTTCGATCTTCTACTATGGTCTAACCAGAATAGTCGTGTCGAGACAGCGAAAGAACTGTTCCAACAACAAGAGTTGTCTGGCACTGGACGTTGTCTACCACACATGCAGGTGTGTGTGTGTGTTGGCCGTCTTTGGACACAGCCATGCACATTTCCGAATGTATGACGGTAAAAAAAAACTCACTTCGGACAACGGACGTGAACACGAATGTGGTGTGCAGGTGTACAGACTGCGTAAAAAGTAACCTCAGACCTGGATAACGAAACGAAGGCGGAACATCGATTGGCCAAGCTCGTAATCGGTCGATCAACGGGCTGGATCTCCGGAGCTCCGAAAAAGTGTGAATAAGGTCGCAGTTGATCGCAAGATGGAGTGAATCTAAGTCGCTACTTGTCTGAAATAGACTGGAAGCCAATGCGTCGAGCAATATGTAACCGAACTGATTAAAAGACATATAGTCGCGTCTGTAAGTTACCCGGATTCAAATGGATAAAAGCCAGATTCAGGTATTCGCTACCATCGACTCAGCAATGTCTGTTTTAGTTTCCAACAACGCGGCTGGAAGACAAATCATTCGATTAAACAAGTCTGACTTTCGACAAGGTACACTCATCTGCCATTTAATTCGGTGTGACTCAATCAAATCCCAGCTGCGTCGCTCGCTATCGCCACCTGTGCACTAATAACTGGAAGCCAATGCGTCGAGCAATATGTAACCGAACTGATTAAAAGACATATAGTCGCGTCTGTAAGTTACCCGGATTCAAATGGATAAAAGCCAGATTCAGGTATTCGCTACCATCGACTCAGCAATGTCTGTTTTAGTTTCCAACAACGCGGCTGGAAGACAAATCATTCGATTAAACAAGTCTGACTTTCGACAAGGTACACTCATCTGCCATTTAATTCGGTGTGACTCAATCAAATCCCAGCTGCGTCGCTCGTTTCTGACATTTTTCAATCGAAACATCAGGCTGGTGGAAACTCGGGAACTATGCTTACCTCCAAAACCGGTATTGGGCTGTGAAGGAGTTTTCAGCAACCTTATAAGTAGCGTGGTATTATGCTCGCTTTCCATCGCATCATCCATCTCAAAAGAAGACAAATTTCACGTCATTTATGAGGACATTCTTTGTTGCCTGTCCATAAGTGTTTCTCTTCCGGCCCAGTTGCCGGAACGACCGCTCCAATGAGGCACGTGTCCACCTACCCGAGCATCCGTCCACTTTCGATATCGATTTAAGTCTATGGCCGATTGATAAAAGTAGTCTGGATAATGGACAACGTCTATCCAGGTCCTGTAGGCTCTCTGTCATGGTCCGGTTTCCACCCCGAACACACGTTGCGTCACCTGGCCTTGTGTGCGCGACTAGTTTTCTTTTCAACCAAACGGTCATGTGATCAAAGCTGGTGCATTGGCTATCACGTGATCGAAAACTGCGTCACGAACGTTTCCTGACCGAATACGGAAGTGGTTTTATCTTGCATTGCCGAGGTTCATTCCGGCTACTAGTTTGTAGCTGCATAAATCTGTGTAGTCTTTACCTGCACATCAGAGTTGTCGGCTCTGGGTTACTAACGGAATTCGGGCACATACCTTGCTACTGCTCGCCTTCAGGTCAGTGAAACCGGACAGACAAAGCCCAGCCAATCAAGCGTCCCTCTTCGCGTTCAAAGCCCTTGCTTCCCAGCTATACATCTTGTAAAATCAATACAAGCTCATTCACAGTCTTCAGTTTTGAAAAATACAGCCTCTCACTTTTCGTGAAGTTCCGGAATCAGGTTTTCCATGTCGAAGTTAACCAAAGACTCAGTTTCTTTTTTTCACGCTTGGATGGATGGTAGGCTGTAGGAGAGGACAATAGATCAAGGGTGGACGGGAATGAGGATAAGAGGATGATGGAGCGACTTGCCGTCGTCTCTGTTCTACGACTAATCAAATAGCCATGAGGTTGCGATCTTGTGGAATACAGGGGACTCAGGTGCGCTGCTTGGTTGTTGGTCTCTTCGCCGAGTTTGGCAATTGGATTGAAAACGTATCATCATCAATCGAGGTGACATTGTCAATGCAGAGTTGACCCACAGCTGACTTTATCAAACTGCAATTTCGAAGAATTTCGAATGCAGTGCAGAACTCTACCTTCAGATTGATGATCTAGTAGTGGACTTGCCTCTAGATCTTGTAATGCACTACTCATAAGGTTGCTGAAAACTCCTCGACAGCCCACGACCGGTTTCGCCCTTTCAGTTCGGGCTTATCAGGTAGGCGCAGTCCCGAGTTTCCGTCAACCTTATGTTCTACTTGAAACCAAATTGCACGAAATTAGCGAATATACACTCATTAGCAAACTGGAAACATCGAAACCGAGAGATTCAGCTGGTTTCCAGGTGGGTCTCTCGAAAAACCAAACTAGTTTGCCTCTAGATCCTTTGCTAGCTTATATACTTAGGGGGAAAGTGGAAAAATTTCAGCCTCGGTAGTACAGCGCTAATTCGATCAAAGATATTTTTTGTAGCAAAGTAAGACACTTCTACAAATGAGTGTGTATTCGCTAATTTCGTGTAAGTTGGTTTCAAGTAGAACATAAAGTTGACGGAAAACCCGGGGACTGCGCCTACCTGATGAGCCCCAATTGGGACAAAACCGGTCGTGGGCTGTCGGCCGATTTTCAGCAACCTTATGAGTAGTACATTACAAATTAGTTCATTTATTCTCCTCAAGGGCAAGAATGGTGTACTCAATTTACACAATGTAGAAAGTGAGTTCAAATTTCTTACCATCAAGTCAAAAAGGGACGAGCACCTGACAAGTTTAGGATAGAATAACGCGATGAAAACAGACTAAGGTAACTATTGCTAGTAAGTGACTAAGTACAGTTCTCTTTTCGAAGGACTTTGAAGCCAAACGGTCTATGAAACACTCGTTACAGCGGTTATTCATGGCCGCCATTGTTCCTTTAAAACCATAGTCAACTTCAGCCTGAAAAGCACACAAACTATGCAAGACCAGTTTATGCTTTTGTACACCGTCGCCTGCTCCTGCGTGGGCGAGTCGTTTGGTTGGACAATCAGGCACAAAACTGATCTGGGAGGACCATCCAGTCTAATTTCAGGAAGACCATTGTGGTTCCCTTGGTCGAAAACAGATAATAATAAGGCGTGAGTTCTGCTTTCAAGACCATCTGCATGGTTCCGAGTGGAGTAAAAGAGGACAAACGCTGCCCGCGGATTGGTCAAGATATCTGTCTCCGAACAAACTGGCCAGCAGCCGATTGACAAGACATTGCTCACCAGATTCATTCTTTTTCCTCTTGATATGTTTTGTTTGTGGGGAATCTGACTACTGGTGAAATGTCGAATTCTAGGGGGCGAGATGGTTCATGGCGCGAATTTACTGACCTCTGCATCTCGACTTCTCCTGTCTAGACTTGGGCAACTTGGCAGTATCCCAGCCCTCGTGCTTCTTTCGTGTGGCATGGCAGCTAGGCACCTACAAGGTGTTATAGCTGAGCGATCTCGATTTTTTGTCGAATTTCGGGCTGTATCCCGACGAGGCGAGGCTGGCTGTTCTTGCTTTGTGAACTAAATTACTTTGTCAGTTTTACACTTTCCAGTCCCTGATTATAACTTGCACGGTTGGTCGTTTCTGGTCATACGAAAAATCTCACTGTTCTAACTTCTGTTTCCTGCTTCAGGTGCATATCACGGACGCCGTGGAAGCTATTCAACACCCGCTCCCAGTGTCTTGTCGTGTGCCGTCTCCAGTACGCCTGTTAGTGTGTTACTTTGAAATTTTGTCGGAACTGGATGAATTTGTCCGCGACCGCGAACGGGTGAGTTCTATTCACACATTGACACGGAGCTGAGGAGAGTAAACTTTCTTATTTCTGTGTATGTACGGCGCGATGAATCTGACTGTTGTTCTTCTCTGTTTCCAGTTTGTGCATAGCAGCGTATTTCTAGTCAAGACAGATGGTTCTTTGCGGACTACTGTTGTTGCCAAGCCGAGTTTCCGTGCCAAATTCACATGTAGGTCAACAGCAATGACCTTAAAAAGGCGTCACATCAGACAGCAGCGCTGCACAAGGTCGTGAAAACTTTTTATACGGTAGTCTGATGTGAAATACTGAAAGACAATACCAATGTGGAATTTAGTTGGCGGGTTGGTATGGCTACTCCCCGGAACTGTCTTCTCTGTACGAGGTGAACAAAGCACCAAGCGTATGCTTCATCCAAGTGGCTGTTGGCTCACTTAACGCAGGCGAAGTACTTCCAACAGCCTACCGAAAAACAATAAATAAATAAATCTTCTACGGGGCAAGGACGCATTGGGTTGTGATTGACGAGAGTCATTTCTGTAGACTCTTCGTTTAGAAAAGATCACTTCCAGAGGACTAACATTTGTTCGTCAGTGATAGTACATCCTTCGTCTGAAGAAGACGAAACTCCCAGAATTCACGTGGTCATCTTTGCGATCTTCCATCGCCGGCTATGAGTTGTATTTGATTTTGCGAGCGTTTGTCAAACACAGCGATTCGGCAACGGTTAGTGGGTACAATGGGGTACAAATCAAGTTTTAATGTCTCCTTTAGATAGCCTGTGACACCCAAAACCTTCCTTCTATGAGAAAACAGAAGTGAACGCACGCTTGGTGCACTAGGGATTAGGCATCGGGACTATTTTCTGAACGCTGCATTGTGTTTCTACACGTACTCTTCGTGCACGCCGTCTAAGCTCAATCGCATCGTATTCGGCGTTGTGGCAGACTCACAATCATTTACCGGTTACCGTGGATTTTAATCTACGCCTCCGTCATCCTCGATGATGCAGTTACTAGTCGTGAATATTTTGAAGAACTGGTATCGTCGAGAAATACACTCATTTGCAAATCAATTTGGTTTCAACGGGAGACTCAATCGAATCTCTCGTTTATGATGTCCTCCAGCTGAATGTGCTGCACACAGGCCGCCTCATGATTCAGTTGGCACGATATTCGAGATATCGCAGTATATTTTCACAAGGTCGCTGGGCTGCCGAGGAGTTTTGAGGAACCTTGTGAGTAGTTTCCTTTATGGAAACTGGTATAGTCCTTTCGTCCCCAGGCTCATTTCGAGCAGCTATTGAAACTCTGCTTGCATAAGCAGCCTTTATTGAAGAACTCATGCGCTCCAAACTTGTGTCTATTACTCTGACATGATTCACAGAAGCTGACGGCGATAAGGAAATCCTAGGTTATTGATCCCCGCCAGACAGGCGCAGAAGCCCCAACCACCGTTTGTTGGAAGCAAAACTTGTTCGGCCCCATTGCTTCTCGAGTCAAACCTTACTGTCATGATGGCAAACGAGTTTCGCCAAAACCCACGTCCCACTACAAACCAGGTTGTGCGTTTTTAGACTTTATGTGACAGCTACAGAAGTCTCGTATCACCCCGGAGCTATAGCGACTTTTGGAGAGCCGAGTTATAGAAAAACAAAACTTGTGACTGGAGACCAAAAGTCATGTCAACAAAGCGATAGTTCTGTGTGAAAATTAACGCTTTGGCCTTACTTGGATGCAGGTACACTGTGGAAACCGAATTGAAAGTGGTGTGCAAAACGATACTGGGGCTACAGTTTTTCCGGAAAGCTAATTACCACTCTCGGGGAACAGATCAATGGCCGTCTGATCAGCCACCTCAAGTTTCCGCCACTCCAATTTAGGCACGGAGAACAACTCGGGGACTGCGCCTACCTGATGAGCCCGAACTGGAAGGGCGAAACCGGTCGTGGGCTGTCGAAGAGTTTTCAGCAACCTTGTGAGCAGTTTCCTTTAGGAGAACAACGCTCTGTTTGGTTAGACATGGACAGACCGAGCTCAGCCGAACCAGACACCACGGGGAATCGATTGCTTGGTTCTAACTCAGATTTGGAAACGACCCATCGAAAATTCTAGGTGTTCAAGGTCACTGGGGAGAGGGCTACAGACCCCGGATTGTTATTGGCCAACACCAGGTTAGCTATTGGAATCTCTCATGGGTATGTCTCACGAGCCACTAACATACCCCTTGCATACGCTCCAACGTCCAGTGGTTCCCAGCTGACTTCATAGTCGCAGGTCTCTGGATTTCTTCAAAGGCTACAGAAGTTCCAGACATGCCAAGTGAGACGACTCATCACAAGGGCTTGTCTAACCTTTCGCTGATTGCCCTATTTGTTCTGATACGAGATAGCACTGTGGTTCATTGTGCGTAAACGGTCGCGTATCTTACTACTCATTTTACTACTAGTAATAGTAATTTGTGTGGGCTTGCCTCTAAAATGCTGATCAAACCATTGCCCCAGTTCACGCCATTCAGTAGGACAACTTTTCAGACTGCGCAAATAGAACCACTGTCTTTGTCCAATCTGTCTACGCTGTTTTCCCGTTACCGTGGCACAGTTTCCGGAGCGCCGATGTGGAAACAGACTGCAAACGAGGTCAATTTAGAAGAATCTGACATCCAAGAAGGACAAGTAGGGGACAGAAATTGGGTTTTTGCTACTAGCACTCTTGCATCTCTCTCTCTCCAAGTATGGAAAGCCACTAGCCGACAGTTGGTGGCCATTAGATAAATTAACTTGTTGTTATCGATCAAAACACACGCAGTCTGTGTTTATCGATTCACCAGCTGACGCATTATGCATGGTGGATCACACATGCGTGTTCGCTGTAGAATGCAAACTCTTTTTAAAAGGATGGTGTTGGAACATGTTCCGTTTCTTGTCGATATTACCTGTTTTCGCACAGTCAACATGGCACCATGTGACGAAAATAAGGCTTTACAGAAAGAATTGACACCTGTATCGGTGCATCACCAGCCTACTGCTGTTGCAACCCCCGGTGATTGTTTCATGCTTTCTGTTGTACCTTTCTATTTTTCAGACTTTATGGCCTCGATACAAACAGTGGGCGAACTTGGTCGATTTGTCAGCTGCCCTGTTACGCATGATCAGTGTGCCCGGTCGGAAAGACCAGGGTCGCGACATACCGACTGAAGAAGCGACCTGCGTATTTGGTTTACGCGTACTCACCTGTCTGCGCGATACGATTCTCATGTCGCCCGTTACGTTGCATCGGTGTCTCAGGCTCAGGAATCCAGGGGCCAGATCCGATGAAGCCAGACGGGTGTTACGAGTGTACATGCACCGGATTGAGACAACTTTGGAAGAACATCGATGCTGGCTAGCCCGACTGGCTGAACAAGAACTCAGTTTAGAGCAACCTACACCACCGTCAATAGAACAGATCGCTCAAATTTACTCGCAGAGACTTGTAGCGCTTCACACGGTAGGTTACCTGGCGACCATTCTCGTTCATCTCGAACAACTAATACTCAGAGCTCATGAACCTGCGTGGGGGGGAGGTGTTAGGGTTAAAAGTAGGCCGAAAACAAACTTGAGGGACCGACGGTGTGAATACTAATCTAGGAGGAAGTTCTTTCATGACACGACAGTGAGCGACTGAGCCAGATACCATACCGTTTTCAAACTTTGAATACTATCCAGAAGAGGAACTACTGTCATAAGGTGAGGAGCTTTTACGTCCTAGAACTGTGCTCATACACAGCAGCAGCTTGACTAAGAGCATGCATACATTTCCTGGCAAATCTTTGAGGATGCCCTGCTCTTCAGTCTCACTTGGGACAGTAAAAGTACCATGACTGCCGTTGCCACGCTCTAGGTCACGCTTCCGGGAAGGTCAGATATAACGAGAGCACATTAATTGTGTAGACAGAATGAAATGAAATCAGCCTAACTGACAGTCTACAAATGATACGCACGCGAGGCTTTTTTGCACATTCGAGCTCAATATCTGGCCGTTTGGTAATTGGTAACTCGGGTGAATTAGTTGTTAATTGATCAGGTGGCTGTTGATCTGTTCGCCGAGCTTGGCAATTGATTTGCAAACGTTCGAGGAGACATCTTCAGGGCGCTGTACGTAGTCCCTCTCTTCGTGCCCGCGTTTATATAGTTTACAAAGAGTAGCTTTTGCCCTGTAACCTGATTGGCCATTGACAATCATCCTACTGCGATACGCAACACAGACTAAGATCGGACCAACCAAAACCCAAGTAGGATGATTGTCAATGGCCAATCAGGTTACAGCACAAACACCGCTCTTTGTAAACTATACAAACGCAGGCACGAAGAGAAAGGCCACCCAACCAACAGTGCACTGAAGATGTATCCTCGAATGGTGACGAAACATTTGCAAATCAATTGCCAAGCTCGGTGACCAGATCAAGAGCCATCTGGTCAGTTACCAAATCTCACCGTTTACTTGATGTGGTCATGTCGTGTCGAACGAGCTGTACTTTTGTACGACATGCCAAAGTGGGTTGGCCGTCCGCTTCAGTTGGTAGCTCCGCCACAGCGTTCTCAGTATACAGCCAAGCCGCAGTTGTTTCGCATGTCATCGTAACAAGGGTCCAGAAGAATAGGGTGTCAAACAGATTGAATCCTTATGCATCGCCGAGCTTAAAAGCCCTGTATCCCCATTACCGGAGCAGTGCTACGAACTAGGTTCGTTAACCACTCCCTCCGCACCCAAGAAAAAAAACCCCGGTTGGTTTCGCCACCAAACCGACCCTCTGAGCCTCGAATGCTTTGAAATATGATATGATCGCAAACACAGACCAGCTTTTCAAGATCTTTAACCCTGGTTCACTGGATAACCTTGGAAGTAGTATCCGACCTCAGTTCCGTGTACGATAGCCCATTTGTTACGTGTCCTACTGTGAACGTACCAGAACAGATATTTCAGTAACACCTAAGTGCAGCACAGTGTGATAATCTTTCAGCTGAGCCACAAACCGCGTGGCTACGTGTTGACTGGCTCCTTGTCTGATAACCATGAGAAGTTCTGCTCTCTGACCAGGTTACTTATAACTTGATAGTACTCATTCGAGGAGATCGTAACATTTTGTTTTAGGTTCACCCGGTCCACGCGTAAATTTATACGGCTGCTGTTCATGACCAAAAGGAACAGTGTTTTCACTCTTAACTGGATAGAGATTCGTGAGACGCTCACTGCTGATGATTCCGGATAAGGATAAAATGGGGCGAGATGGCTCAAGTGGTTAGAGCGCAAATTTACTAACCGGAAGGTCCGTGGTTCGAATCCGACCTCTACCTCTCGACTTCCCCTGTCTAGGCTTGGGCAACCTGACAGTATTCCAGGCCTCGTGCTTCCTTTGGGTGGTATGGCAGCTAGGCACTGGAAAGGTGTTATAGCTGAACGATAATAAGATAATAAAATGGCTGTACAGTGTCTGCAGCGTACTCCGACTTCACCTGAAGGATGAACTCTCCATCTGCACTCTTCAGTATCCATTTGATTAAAGGAATAGGTGTTTTTGCGCTATGGTTCTGTCCTTTGTCAAATTGACTTTTCTGAATGTTTCCTCAACCAACCAACCTTAGCACCATCCAGTTCATCCAGTTCAAACGCCTGTATATTGCTAGACATTCACAAGCTTCATAACCAGGTTCCCCCTATTTTTTTCTGTTCAGGAGCTGATGACAAGGTTATCTTCCACGCCTTGCCCTCCGAACAAGGACATCAATGCAGTGAGTCGATTTTTCGCTGGGTGTTATTGTTGGAAGGAAGATGGCCTTCGCTGTGGAGTTATTTATTAGAAAATGCCAACTGAACAGTTGCAGACTAGTGGACAGAGAAGCAATACTCTCATATGCATCTTGTTTATAAAAACTTAATGTCCATCTTCTTCTTGAACGCATCTTCCTGAACTTTCATTGACTGTCGCACAAATCTAAGCGAATGCTACAAAGCGACTCCACAAACTTGGCAGTAGATCTCACTTTTCAAGAGATGCAAAGCGGATTTACGAGAAAACATACTACTCGCATGCCCCCCATCAGTAGTATCACCGTGACACCAGGCTGTATATGAGTATCCAAATATGGAAACCAGCTTTGGGCCTATGCTGACAGTCGTTCATTGTTTGCTTCTGTTTTATTGGACTGTCCGCGTTACACCACGTGATTTGTATTGATACCAGTCAGGATGTTCCGTATGCATTACTAATAAATTTCGATCCACGTCTACAGATTTCAGTGATCTCAGCCGAAGGCGCGGTTGCATATGCGCCGTATATATATATATATATATATATATAGTATATATACACACTATGCATAGGCAGTTTTTGCGCATTATTCTATGGTGGTTCCCAGACTGAGAGTTGTGTACGAGCAGTACTAACACTCCATGTGAACCAATAGATGGACCGATAACACAACACGCAAGGTCATTTGTCTGGCTAGCGAGTGTGAACGTCCGTAGCAGATCGATACGCATACAGTAAAGTGTACAAGACGCTCCAGTTTCACAACTGAACGCAAAACTCTGTTTCATCCACGTACGCTGATGAGGTTTTCTAGCGCATCGTGTTTGAAAGTCGTGATTTCAATTTATTGCGAGCAGTGCCGCTTTCCAGGTTCGACGTTACTCACCCTGAAACCGGAATTCCTTCGGAACGAGACACTCACCGACCAGCAGTCATGTCGTAGTTGTACACACGACGCCAGGGACCGTTTGCTAGGGTCCGCTTCACTATCGACATTGAAGTTGTGCAGCTGAATGAGAATCCTTCCCCATTCTCTCAACCCCCACACATGAAATCCCCCTTAATAAGAAACCTTCGTCCAAACAAAGCCTCCACACAGTCACGATGGTTCCCAATTCACCCACACTGCAAACTCTACATTCGAACATCTAATACTTTAGGGGGAATACTTTTACGATCCGTTTGTTGTGAAATTACTCGGTAAACCATCAGGAGACAAGTGACCACCGCACTCGTGGTCGACAGCTCCATCCGTGACCTTGACCTCATTTCGCTTGCCAGTTTAGGTCATCCAGACCGAGTTCTGGTCATTTGGTCATGCCAAACCAGGTGTTTGAACGCAGTTCAAATCATCATTCTGTCGACTGAAAATTCGATGATTTCATTGGTGTTTCCATCAGATGGTAGAGCAATCAACTGTATACGTTGGCAGCCGTTGCAAACACTGTAGCGTGAATTCCCTGGCAAAGCAACCTCACTATAATAGAAAAAGAGGATCTTTCAAGTAAACATCTCTTCGGAACTAGAGGAGAAGATAGACAACATTCGTTTGCACAACTTGAAGAAGAGCGTGCGTATTCTTGTACCGCTCAACACTTTCTGCAACACTGACGCAATAATCCTGTAATGGTCCCGCTTGAAATTCATGTTTACCCTTGTAGGGACTTCAAAACAAGTGTTTCATAAAACTTTTAGACTAGAGCTTCGTTTTTTGATGCGGCCATCTAGTCAGATAACACCTGGAGACCTATTACACTTGTGTATTCATAATGCACTACTCATAAAGTTACTGAAAATTCGTCGCCCTTGAGGCGAAACTGTTGGTGGACTGTCGACGAATTTTCAGCAACCTCATGAGTAGTGGATTACGACCATACAGAAGTATCGCGATATCTCGAATATGATCGTAGTGACTGAAACATGAGGCGGCCTGGTGCAGCACATTCAGTTGCCTGAGAACATCACAAACGAGAGATTCAGCTGGGTTCCAGGTGAGTCACCCGAAAAACCAAATTAGTTTGCAAATGAGTGTATTTCGGTATTACATTTGCTTTTAGTTCGGCCAAAAGGTGACATATTCGATCCACGTTATTCACCCGTTCGCTTGTGATGATACCCGCACTGTCCTCGCAGTATTCGCGCCGTCTTTTGAAGTAAAGCAGCCGCCACCCTTTCCGAGTCAGTTAGTTACACAAGTTTCACGCGTACTTTTCTCCTTGGAATCGGTCTGTTCCCATGAGTTCAACAAGGAAACCTCTTTTATGGTCGATATCACTACATCCTGTCGATTCCGGCTTCTGAAATGTGTAGTAACGATTGATTTACAATCTAACAAACAGTGAAAAGTTGACAGATAGTTTTTACCTCCCTGTTGACGAATCAATGTCCGTTTTAATCGCCTGAATCCCGAGAAATATTCAGACCAATGGCCCTTGACAAAAAGATTAAAACCCCCTTTTTGAGTGACATTTAAGCTAGCTGGATGTGGATAGCTGACACGTTTGCACAATATGGCGTCATCCATCCTCGACGGTGCACATCAACACGTCGCTGTGTCGGTGTTGACTGCCCTTCTCGAATGACCCAATGTTTCCCTGCCCTACTGATATGTTGTAAGTAGCGAGTGATACAAAAATTCCCATTTTGCACTTCACACTTCAAGGCCACTAATGGTCGGTGTTTAACACATCAACATCACCTCACGTGACATCATGGTGCCACCTCCGCACAGACAGGAATCACAGATGTGAACGACCCTTGGGGACTAGCTAACTTGCCCTGTCATGCCAAGGAATTCTTCACGAAGTACGAGACAGAAAATTTGGAATTGGCGAGTCCAAAAAGAGATGAAGTCTATGTTGAGCTCTCCGAGAGTTCCCATTAATCTTATAATCAGCGTCATCTCAAGCAATCTTCTTCCCTGTTGTTCGACGAAAGTTATGCCATATTGATTTAGTAGATTACTTTGAATATTACCTATTCTCAGCTCACTGCTGAGGGTCAAATCTGCTTCCAGTGGACAAACTCTTACTGTACTACAAAGGTCCATCATGTTTGCGGACCCCTCGTGACCTAGCCACCTTAATGTTGCAAATGACCAAGAGGTGATCAGCCGCTTATTTGAAATCAGCAGGTTCTTGCTTGTCGACGTGTGCGGTTCCTTGGAGCTTATCCAATCCTTTCACCTGGCCGTCTCACCTCCAAAACCGAGCATGCTGCTCACAAACAAGAAAGCCAAACGAACCAGCAAGTCTGGGAACTCACCCAGAGCTTTAAATGAAAGTCAGGCGGGTACCACATGAAATCATAGCCAATTCGGAGTCATATATGCGGTGGTCCCGCCCAACGCAGTCTGCCTGTGGGAGACGGCCAAAGTGGTGCTTTCTGTGGCGGATATCGCAGTAAATCAACGCCCTAATTTCGTATTCAAGTTACTTGACATACTTTACGTACATTACATATGAAATGTAATGCCTTATACACTGTATTGTTTATCTCTGCTCCATCCCGCTCGATTTACGATTCTCGCCCGATGGTCACGTGGGATGCTATTAAGGACGATAATGCCAAATCTTTCCACGGAATCTCATTACCTGAAGCAGATACTCTGCGAACCTTTCCGTCTTGTCTTTTCTTATTGTTCATCCGTCGTCATCAGATGTATCATCATGTGGAAAAGGATATCCAGACAAATACAGCCTTCGTGATACGCCTTACGAAAGTTAGAGGGACCAGCTTCCACTGCCTAAGGATGTTTGTCGATTAGATACACATTCGGTGTTTGAAACTGGTTGAACACACCCTAAATTGTCGACAACTTGGTTTTCATGCTCGGTCATATCATTAAAATAATCGATTTCTATTTGATGACCGGTCTTAAAGCGAAACGGTCAGTTCGTGGCTGGACATGATCACGCAAGAGTGACTTGCTATAAATACCATTAAAATTACGTTACGCCTACTAGTGCGATTCACGAAGGCACCAGGTGAGACGCAAATGATCTATGAAAGTACCCTCAGGGAACTTCACTTATTTTCGACTGAATTATTTCATTCATCTCCGAGCCTCCTTCATAAAGTGGTCGACTAACTTGCCGAATGAACCACCGCTTTGATGAGCTTTCGACGAGCGACGAAGTTCACAATACGTGAGGGTATTTGTGGTGCTCCGGTTGCGTAGATCATGTGTTACCCATGGGAGCATGGGACCACCCCTTCGTGTGGAAAGTCCAGATGTCAAGCTCCCTATGCAGTTCCTGGAGAGTGCGCGAAGGTAAACAGTAGAGGTAAACTAGGCTTTTCAACTCCCCGTAATCCCAGATTCCTGAAAGAGGTGTACCTTGTTGAAGAGCGGTGAGGTCAAAAGTGCCAAAATGTCCCAGTCTCTTCTGCGAGGGTAGGGGTTGCATCCTGTGTTAAAATCCCCAGGACCAGTGCTCCTTAGGGCAACAAAGTGTGGTGGATGGCAAGTTTGAGCTAAACTTGTACGGAGAAGCTGCAGGCGCCAATCAGGTGCATTTGTTTAGAAAATCAAATCTCAATGTTAACCTCAAGCATGAACTCGAACCGAACACACACACACACACGCACTATAATACGTCTCGACAGATAGTTCGGTTTGCAAACTACCCAAGCCCGACATTTCCTTCCAACTATTTTACGGCCATTCCGAGTTTTGTAGCCGCATTCGATTTATCGGACTGAACCCGTTCGTTCCGAACGCACAGAGGCCGAAGTATGACGCCAGATCACGTGTGCGCTGCCCATATCAGTCCGACGACTGCTTATCGATCGATCGAGCTTCATTATGATGGGTCAATTCATTCTGTTCTGTCGGTCATAGTGAATAGCGTTGAATATATGGTTGTAAAGAATACATTTTACGTTTGTATGCGGGCCTGAATACATTGGACAAAAATTGATAGGTTTTTTTCACGTGGGACATTAGTATCAGTGGCATAAGGGAACTATCGCCATTCATTCCAGTCACGCGACAGGCTCAAGGTTTTGTAGTTACAAGAACATAAAGAAAACTACCCACAAGGTTGCTGAAAACTCTTGGACAGCCCACCACCGGTTTCACCCTTCCCATTCGGGCTCATCAGGTAGGCACAGTCCCCGAGTTTCCAACAATCTTTTGTTCTACTTGAATCCAAATCGGGTTAATTAGTAGCTATATTTTCCCCCGTGACCACCGTTATTGTGGAATCTTCTATTCACGTAACTAACATCATTCTTTACAGATTGGAGATACAAGCAAATACTCTCCGGAGTCAATTCCTTCAGCTGACGTGTGGGATTGCTTGATTTCCTGGTGTATACGCCAATCTCGATTCCTGAAGCGGTACCTCGCTGAACCATGGTATCCAGTCGACAACTGGAAACGTGATATCACCGAATCGCCTGATCAGAAGAATCTCATGGACTGGTGCCAGTCGGAAATTGATGAATGGCACAAAGCTGAACAATTCCTCAAGGTCAGTTTTCCCGGTCGATTGGCTAACGTGAGCTAAATTTAACAGCTGGAGTTTGGCGGTGCACTGGAAGTGGAACATCGAAGCCGACCCAGTACCCACCGAGCTCAATTGCCGCTATAGTGACTGGCAGTATCAGCAGATTAGGATCATTACAAACTCCTGTATTGTTTGAGTGCTGCACCCACGACTGAGTTGGAGTGTCAGTGCGCAACCAAATCCAGGATGTGTTNTCCAACCACAAGTATTCTAGAAGTTTCGCAGTTACCTGGAGCCGTTTTGTCCAACGGTAGGCTGTACAGTTAGTGCACCAAATGGACTAAGGCATGATAAGACACTGACCTGTGTCGCAAACCCAACCTGGCAGCATCATAGCCCTCGTGCAGGTTGCACGGCAATTAAGCACAGTTTGATGATACTTCAAGAAACTAAGCCTGAGCCAATCCGTGCTCAAAGTAACCATGACTGCGTGTGCAACTCCGTTGTTTTGCTGAGGTGTAGGTAAGGGAAAATCTACCTCATTTTCTGGAAGTTTCTAGTATTATAAGGCACATTTTGGATCACTATGACAAAGGAAGTTCTTTCATTTTTAGAAAAAAGTTACTTGAATACCTTATTTCTCACACTGGCGTGCCTACTGCGTTCAATATTATATTACATGCTTGCAAGTTTTAGGACTTGATAACTTAAAAGTTGGCTGTCGGCGGTTGTGGGATTTGTACGTAGGATTCACCTCACGTCACGTTTAAACAGCCCTCCTTCTGTCTTGACGCAATTCTTCTGGTGAGTTCGCACCAAACAGGATATGCCGTGGACGCATCAACAGTGCATATCCAATGGCTGTGTCCGGGTTTGAACTCCGAACATTCGACTTGCGGGGCGAGCGCGTTAACACTATTCCACCAGCACACAGCGTTCAGCTGTAGCATTTCCGGTGCCTAGCTGCCATGCCACCCGAAGGAAGCTCGAGGGCTGTGCCCGGTTACCCAAGCCTAGACAGGGGAAGTCGAGAGGCGGAGGTGGGATTCGAACCAGGGACCTTCCGGTCTGTAAATTCGCGCTCTAACCACTTGGGCCATCTCGCCCACACACCGAATTATCAAGACTGAAGAGGCGATTTTGTTCGCGGCTTCATTGGTTTGCGCGACACCTCGAACGAGGGCACGCTTCTATCGATTGTCCGCGGGCCATTCCAAGTGGTGTAGCGCTATGAACGCTTGAAACTGTCTGGAACTTTCAACAGTTGCAGGTGGTTACAGGATTACTGGAATGCGCGTCCATATCCTTCTTGGGCGACACGGTATTACCGATTTTACTTCAAATGGCTCTAATTTGGAAATAAGCTTGTATCAAATATGGTCAAGTGTGACTCACATGATAGTCCGGTTATTTGAGCTCGAGATAGCTCATTGGTTAATGCGCGAATTTACTGTCCGTGGTTCGAACCCAATCGCGTCAACTCAACTGCTCCTATCTAGGCTTGGGTGACCTGGCAGTCCGTGTGCTTCCTTCTGGTTGCGTGGCAGCTAGGAACCGAAAGGGTGTTGCGGTTTACGATCTGGCGAGGTCTAACCACTTTATCGCCTGATGCTCTGTTTTGTGTCTAGTGATAACAAAGACCGCACCCTGCTAGGCGACAAGACGTATTGGGTTCAAGAATAGAACCATGTACTGGATCCTTTTGCAAGTACAACACACCAAGTCTGATACACCGTCGTTCTACAGTGGTCCCATAGAATTTCGTCTCGGCTTGCCAGACGTGTGTCGGATTCGCACAGTCTCCTTTGCACAGAGACAGGGCGGAATATCTTCTGACTTGTTTACGGTTCTTGTTTGCCAACAAAACGCGCACATAAACGATAAAGACCATTCTATGTGAGGTACGTACCATTTATGTGTGTCCAATATCACCTGTCGGGGCGTGACTCACCACTATTGGACAGATCGTGTGACCTTGAAAGTCTGCCATATTATTAATGCGGATAGTCTGTTGTTTTTCTCGTCAGGCAGACACTTGATGAGATTTTCGATCTCATAAATAACTCATGCTGCTCCGTTCATCCGTAGAAGCGTACGAACTTAGCTCGTGGAAAAGTCAGACTCGGATTTCGTGGGTGAAACGCATTCACCCATGAAGTGTAAACATGCAAAATCAAGAGCAAACGACTGGGGAACTTGGATTTTAAGCATTCGAAAATAGGGGCTTTCATTACCGGCAACAACACAAAATAGCTTCTTTGGATGAACGAAGTAAGTAGACTAGCAGAACAACGTAAAAACCGCGTGAGATCATTTCAGGTAGTCATCATGACTTCGGAAGATCATCTGACTGACTTTACGTAAATTGACCAATCAAAGTAGAAGAACTTGACTTTCCTAAAAATGACAGTGCTAGTTTGGAAATTCGGTTTTAGAAAGTTTGGGATCACTGGATTGACTACCTCGGCCGTCCATTAGGTTAGGTACCAGTTGGAACCGCGCAAACTTCACTCGATCAGATCAGATCAGCTCCTTTCATAGCAAATGTCACTTGGACTGACCATTTCTATTCCGGATGGAGTGCATCCCCAAAGAACACATAGGTTGGAGACGAAATCCGTACTTTTTCTGATTGCTATGAAGAGCTTCAAAAGACTAACTCGTTTAAACCTGTTAAAATACGCTGACCAGCTGGCGGTAACTTTGGTTACGGATGGAGCGCATTTCATCCTCTTTAATATCTGAATGACATGCCTCGCCTGTCGGCCGCCCTCCCCGAAACCGTCAGAGATCTGAGACAAGCTGATACCTTTATAGCCGCAGAGATTTCAAGGATAACTCGTTTTCCTGTGAGCAATGAAGCCCAATGACTCGAACTTTTAGATGGGACCTCATCGACAACAGACCTTAAGCACCGACAACCAGTGCGCAGTTGACGAACCCCAAGCAGATCCCGTTCATGTCCTCTCTAGCGGCTTGACTGATCTTTGATTAGTCTGAGTACTCTCTTCCGAAGAAACTCACGGCTTCAGGCGACCCACTATATATCAACTCCTCAGTACATTTCTATAAGTGGCTACTGATTGTTTGTGAGTAGTCAAAAAAGTGAAAATATCTTCACCCACACCTAGTACCGCATCCGTCCTCGCGTTTTCATCCTCAGTTTCAATTATCCTTTCCATATTTCATTTAGGATCAATTTGTAACCATAACCCGGATTGCCGACCGTGTGCAGTTCATGGCCCCGAAACAGTGCTCGTCGCCGGTTGTGTCGAACCTGCTCGAGGAACTGCATAGCTTGGTCGACCAGGCTTTGGATCGTGCCACACAGATAAACTTTTTACGACAAATGTGTACCCTACCCAATGGTCTTCTAGGCCTCATTCAGCACATTCAAGGTGAGTTTCCGAGTTTGTACCGCATGGTACAGCGTGGTAGTCCATGCATATCAAACGGTGGATGGCTGTAAGCGTTGGGAAATCTGTCGGACGCAGATTTCTAGCCTAGGTGTGTCCATTCATTCATTCATTCATTCATGATTTGTTGTCCTCTAGAACACCCATCCGTCTTAAGCACTTGGCGTGGGATGTCGAGACGTTGCAATCATAAATCTAGCCTACATGATCCACTTTACTGGGAGTTCCGAGGGCGCATTTCTTGTCATCCTGTATTGCATCCTGAAAACCGAACTGGGAAATGTATCGTGATATTGTTTTAATCGATCGGTGTTCATGATCCTGGTCCATCGTCGCTGAAGCTGTCCCACTGCGTCAGATTGCATCATCTACTCGGATCCTGACATTCCTTTCTCTCGGATTACTCAACCTGTTTTTGTTTCACCGTTTTCTATCGTCTTCTCCAACACTCTAAATCACCAAATTCCGCGTTCGTTAACTCCGTGCCTTTTAGACATCTGACGCAAATCTAGTTTTAGTCTGTCCGTCGAAAAGCATGTTTCCTACGGCTTTTATGGGCTCCCTAACATACTATTGTAACGGTGATACTACTGATGAGAAGAGCATGCGAGTAGTATGTTTTCCTCCGCCTCGCGTCTCTTGAAAAGTGAGATCTGTTACGGAATTTGTGGTGTCGTTCTGTAGCATTTGCTTGCAATCGAGTAACAGTCAACGAATATCCGGGAAAGTTCAGGAAGACGCGTTCAAGGGAAAGATGGACATTCAGTTTTTGTAAACAAGATGCATACGAGAGTTTTGCTTCCCCATCCGCAACGAAGGCCTTCTTCCTTTCACTAGTGGATACATAGCATCAGCAGCATAATACCAATGATGGTCGAATTTCGAATTGGAGTGGAACTGTTGCTAATCGCACTGTCACATTGCTCCAGAAACTATCGTCAGGGCATCAGAGGCTACCTTTACCTTTTTCATTTGCAGAATTGGAACAGCAAGTGCATTCGTTCACTTTAACCAACCCCGATGGCCCGAGTCGAACGGAGGTGGAGTTGCGTATCCGTCAACTTCAACACCGACTGAGCATTGAGTGTGCATTTATAGTTCGTTTGTCCTCACTAATCTCGACCTCGGTACATTCGGATGAGGCTGGGATACACCCGTACGACGCGTGCTGGTTCACTGTCTGGACTAATCGAATATCCGAGGCCTACCAAAACCTCGTACAAAATTGGGACAGTCGGGTTAAGAGTCAGCGCATGGAGGTCTTGTGCCAGGCGTTCAAAGCATGGATCAAGTGCGCCGAAGAGTGCTTGACCGCTATCTCTTTTGGTGTGAGGTAAGTGTCAAAAAGTCCCCTTTTCCTGATCAAGACCGTTTACCAACCTCTTCGCCTATCTCCTGTAATCTCTTCACACCTTCCTCCGTGTTTTCAGGCCATACACACCGAACAATCTACTCCAGGACAGCAATCACTTCCCGCTGTTGTGGTGTCTTCTGTGTGATGCAGACTTGTTGCTCGAGACTGTATGGCACTTGGAAAACTCTCCTGCACTCGAAGCCAACGGCAGTTTGACAAAAACTATGATCCCCAATGAGTTTTCCAGTCGTTTGGGCGAAATAAGGAGGCAGGTCGAATTCGTGCTCGCAGGCTGCCGACAGAATGCGACTCTCATTCCAACTTTACTTCAGAGGCTCGAACAGAGCTTACGTAACTCGAAAACAGAGCCAGTATTGTCCCTGATGAATGTGGCGGTCAACGGTGAGTATCAGAAAGAAATCAAGGTCGATGGACTTCGCACACTGGTATACCGCCTAAGTGACTGTGAGAGACACTGGGAACGTCGACTTCAGTTGACACAACGAATGCTCAATTTGGTTGGGGGACCGGAATATGGCAACTCAGAATGCATCCAGCGATGGTCCGCTTCCTTGTGTCTGAGACGTGACCGGCTGGTGAAAGTGCTTGCTGGCCTTCAGCGGATTCGACGAACCAGTGAACTTGTCGAAGTGGAACGGTTTCCATTAAGACTATTATCTTCATTTGAAGTGCGGTTCGTGCGTGTAAGTTGGACCAGTTTTTAGTCGCTAGAGTTGTTCATCCAACCATGTTCCCGACCGCCTAACCGATCGATAGTTCAATAACATGATTCCTGTCCGTAAAGGTCAGCTAGTCTTCAATCCAACCACAGGTGTTTCTTGGATGGAGGTTACTTATACAAAGAGGGTTGTGTAACACAGTCGGTTCGGTTCAGTTCAGTTCAGTTCAGTTCAGTNCCGCCTAACCGATCGATAGTTCAATAACATGATTCCTATCCGTAAAGGTCAGCTAGTCTTCAATCCAACCACAGGTGTTCCTTGGATGGAGGTTACTTATACAAAGAGGGTTGTGTAACACAGTCGGTTCAATTCAGTTCAGTTCAGTTCAATTCATTTCAGTTCAGTTCAGCTCATTTCAGTTCAGGTCAGGTCAGGTCAGGTCAGGTCAGGTCAGGTCAGGTCAGGTCGGGTCAGCTCAGGTCAGGTCAGGCCGGGTCGGGTCGGGTCAGTTTAGTTCAGGTCCGGCCAGGTTAGGGCATTTCGGTTCCGCTCAGTTCCGCTCGTGGTGTCTAAATTTCTGTGATACTGTGGCTCGTATTGCTGGCGAAGATGTTATCCCGCAGAGACAACTATTTAGTCGTCTCAGCACGCATGAATTGCAACGGTATCAACTGCCAGTTGGACTCCATGGGCATTTAGGTCCCCAGGCAAAGGAGCAACCTACGATAGTTGATGTGTGAGGTAGACTAACCAATTGATTGTTTTGATACTGACGTTAACTTGCCTTCTCCAAGCATAGAGCAGAATGGGGTCGAATTAGGTGAGCAATGTTCTAAGCTGGTACCACATCCCTTAGTTGTCTTGGCGACCAGCCACGTTCTTTCGGTCAACCACCATCTTTGTTTCTTCACCTACAGTTTCTACCCATTTTAGTTCATGTAACGTTTTTGTTAACAGGAAGAAACTCTGCGTCGAGAACAAGTTTTTCTAGAAGCGCTGCGTTTTGGCTTGGACGAGTTGCGTGTAGAGTCCAAGATTGTCACAGACAGTTTGTCGGTCTTCGATCCGCAAGGTTCCAGCTCCAACTCGTTGTGCACAACGTTGGAGGAACTGAAGCACCTGTTCTCTCGAATGGTTCACGATCCACGTCTGGGTCAGTCAAGCAGCGTCAGCATGCCTCGTGACAAGTTCACCACCCACATTCAAACACAACTACAAGAAGCTGACAAATTCTATGAGACCGTCTCGCTCATTGTTCGTTCAGACTGGGAGCTGACAGCCAACTCCGATCAGTGCCAATTTCAGTGCAGTTTACTGTCGAACACAAGTGGCGAGATGAACAGAGCGAACAAGTCCATTAGGAATCGACTGAGGATACTGGCAATCAAGCGCTTGAAGCTACTAGTTTCAGAATGGCGTGACTGGAAGGCGAAGGTTAGTAGAGCAATGGTTTGACTTTTTTCCACAGAAAAGTTTGCTCTATTGTTTGGGGGTCAATTTTAATTGGTCCTCAAGCTACAAGAACTACGTGTGGTTGTGAACGTAATTGGGCCACACAACTGCCAATGGAATAACTGTTTTCGTTGGGACAATTTTCATTGGTTGTTCTTCACTTGCCCTTGACAGACGAGTTTTCTTTTTAGTATCACTTTTCGGCCCGCCTAGAACTTTCCACGTGAAATTCAAAAACAGTCCGCTTTCGGCTGCACTTGACACGTTTGTACTCGTCAGTGTTCAATCGATTGATCAGCTGGTTCGCACGTTCATTGGCTAAGCACCTCAGGCTATCGAGCGGCTATCCAGACTCGGATTCACGGTATTAAGAAGGCATTAAGGGAACTGTGGTCCACATCAGATCGCTCGATGCTTCGCGGTTTGCCCTTTCTTTGGACTTTGTAACGAAGTTCTACATTAGTCTGCACTATAGAGGCAAATCGTCAGAAGAGCGGAAGTTGTCTTTTTTACAGGTGCTTTTTGATCGTTCATCTATAACACCGTGCCTAATTGCCATGCCACCCGAATGAAGCATGACGGTTGAGATGCTACCAGGCTACTCAGGTCTGCACAGTAGGCAGGACCCCGGGTTCGAACCAGAGATCTTCCAGTGGGTAAGTTCTCGCCTCGACCACTGAACTCTCTCGAGCTCACGGCTGGTCTTTGTTCGGAACTCATCGACTTGTCATCTTCCACTTTGATGAAATTTCCGCTAGGCAGTGCTGGTTCATCCTAGTTTACATCCTTCTATCGTCACGTTCCGTAACACTTTCCGCTCATGAAGTAGTACCAAGTTTTTGTTAAATTTCACCCAGAAATTTGTCGATCCACATTCTACATCCACTTCGCACAGATTTTCTCTGAACACCAGTGGACATTTTGAGCTTTTTGAAACTGTTTTAATCGCTGTAATTCCGCACAGCCAACCTCGTTTTTCCTCAACTCCTTAGACTACCACCAAGTTCCGTTGTTTTTTGACGCTTAATTACGCAGATTCATTCTCCTCGCCTTCTTGAAGTAAAACAAGGACTCGACTTGTGCACTCATCTACATACTAATTCGGTTTTGACGGGATACTCACCTGGAACCCTACTGAATCTCTCGTTTATGATGTTTTTGAGGTTGACAGAGGAAACTCGGGGACTGCTCCTACTTGATGAGACCCAAGAAGGCCGAAATCTGTCATCGGCTGTTAAAGAGTTTTCAGCAACCTTATGAGTAGTGTATTACGTCTGGAACAGGAACTGTTGAATGCATTTGTCGACGATTCCTTGTAGGTGCACTCCTCAAACCCTCTCGAATGTACAGGGCAGCGAAATCAAGTGAAACCAGCTGAAACCGTTACATTGGTTTCTCCGGACTAGTATACTCTCGTACTCGATAGCATATCGATGAAGGATGTCTAGAGTTGTAGCGGAGCTAGCTGTGATTTCTCAATCCCTGGTTCATCCTACGATGTCAAGTGACTCTGAGCTGGGTCTGCCTATTAGTGGTGTGTAGATTCTCGGTCCATCCGGAAGGGATGACGTCAGGATCGATCGTTTTGTCATTCTCACCGGGGTCTACAGACGACAGCCCAAAGATCCCCGTAGTGTTTGGTTCTCAATGCTTCTAGGAGTGACTTTCCCTTGACCATGATCGTTCAGACTACTGATTCGCCAATGGCGTGCGTACACCGAGTCTCAGTTGTCCGATTAACTTGGTCTTATTTCGACCAATCAGCTTGGAATGTTTAACGGGCTACAGGGTCCCCAAACACGGTCCTGCTTGCATGTTCGTCGGCACAGTCCGATATGATTGGCGAATCCAAAAAAGCAGACGCCAACTTACAGTGTGGTACATTCACACTACTTCGGTAGGACGCGTTGATTCTACCGCGTAAGCGACGAGGTGGGAAGGTCGCCAAACTTCAAAATTTCCCAGACACATTTTTGTGGAGAAGTGTTCTTCATGGGGGTGTACTCAGATTTAGCAGTCTGTTGTATTGTGCGGTGGCCGAGCTATTGGGTTACGCCTGCATTGAGCCTGCGTCTGCGTAAATATATAGGATGACTAATAGGCCAAATATGGTTGTTCACTTGTTCGCTCCGTACAGCCAATGGTGGTGTTCCGGCCGTGAACATTCTCAGGCCCACTACGCTGGTCGTGTGTTGCTAGACCGTGTTTGGTGGGGGCCGCCAACTGACCTACTCTCCGGACGTGTCGTAGCGATAGTGACCTTGAAGATGCGTCACTCTCTGCACATGTACTTTTTCTTCTGTCTGGGCGCGTCCTGACACAGTCCAAAGACCGAAAGACGTGGGTCTCTCTGAGGAAGTATTCTTTGTATCGTGGGACTTGAAGAAGAATGACTATTTGCAAACTATTGAAGCCCGTAAATACGTGGATCCGGATTGTGGAGGGACTTTGAAGCTTTTCTGCTGCAAAATCTTACGTAACTATTTTCCATTCGATACTAAGGACGGTTGTTACCATGTGGGCGGTGTAGCGTACCCTGTCTTCTTTGTGCCTCTTGTCCTGCTGTCTGCCCCTCTTCCAAGAGATAAACGGACACCAATTAAATCTCCTACATACCGTTTTTTGTAGCACAAAGTGAAAGGACTTTAATCTGTCGCACTTATCGAGGTTTCACAATCAATCGAGAAAAGTACTTTTGACATAATGCACTACTCATAGGGTGGCTGAAAATTCTTTGACAGTCCACAACCGGTTTCACCCTTCTTGGGGCTCGTCATGTAGGCGCTGCCCACGAGTTTTCGACAACCTCAAAAACGTCATAAACGAGAGATTCAGCTGGGTTCCAGGTGAGTCTTCCACAGAACCAAATTGGTTTTCAAACGATTGCATTTCGTTACTTTTGACCTATTCAGCTATCTCGTTCCATACTTCAGCAGAGTCAGTGCAAGAATCTCAAAGGCTCTAATCACGTTTGCTAATTTGCGTCACTTGTGGCGTCAAAAAGACATCTCACTGGATCTTAAGGGTCGTGTGTACCAGGCTACAGTAA